TTCTTCTTTTATAGTGACATTCTCCTTCTATACCACATATGTGTTGATTTTATTCATTTTAAAGTATCATCCCAACAATTTTTTAAATTTCAGAAGATTACAGGGTTACAAATGTTTACGTTACATATATTATCGTTGCCCCACCTGAGTCAAAGCTACAAGCATGTCTATCCTGCAGAAAGTGCACACCGTACCCATTTGGTGTGAATATACCTATCCTCTCCTCCCCCATCCCACCTGTCTGACACCTGATAAATGTTACTACCATATGCATATAAATGTTGATCAATTAATAACAATTTGCTGATGAGCACATATGGTGCTTGTTTTTCAATTCTTGTGATACTTCACTTAGTAGAATGGGTTCCAGCTCCATCCAGGATAATACAAGAAGTGCTAGATCACCATTGATTTCTGTGGCTGAGTAGAACTCCGTGGTATACAGATACCACATTTCATGAATCTACTCATGTATTGATGGGCACGTGCACATCTTTGCAATTGTGAATTGTGCTGCTATGAACATTCTGCTGCAGATGTATTTTTTATAGAATGTCTTTTTTTTTTCCTTTGGGTAGATGCCCAGCCCAGTAATGGGGTTGCTGGATCTAATGGTAGTTCTACTTTTAGCTCTTTGAGGTATCTCCATATTACTTTCCATAGAGGTTGTACTAGTTTGCAGTCCCACCAGCAGTGTATGAGTATTCCTATTTCTCCACATCCATGCCAGCACTTGTTGTTTTGGGACTTTTTGATAAAAGGCATTCTCACTGGAGTTAAGTGATATCTCATTGTGGTATTGATTTGCATGTCCCTGATAATTAGAGATATTGGGCATTTTTTCATATGTTTGTTGGCCATTTGTCTTCTTTTGAAAAGTTTATGTTCATGTTCTTTGTCCACTTTTTAATGGGGTTGTTTGATTTTTTTCTTGCTGATTTTCCTGAGTTCTGTCTTAATTCTAGCGTAAGTATGATGTGTGGTGTAGTAGAAGCAACACCTGATTAGAAGCCAGGGGAACTGAGTGCTATTTATTTTTATTTTCTACTAACTAGCTGTCTCAGTTTTCTCATCTGTAAAATGTGGGAACTAAATTCTCCCTTTGATTCCTTCTAACTCCAAAATTCCATTACTATGAAATTTGGTTTTTTGAAAATTTGTCAGATTTCCCCATGTAAAGTGATTGAAACTATTAGTGCCTAAGGGATAATGCAAATTAAAGTTTAATTTTATTCTCACCTCTTCTTTTAGTCTGGTAATCTGGAGAAATTCCCATAGGAAAAGATATTGGAGGATATTGTTAAAATAGCTCACAAGGTCTTTCATGTAATCCCTTTTTTAAGGATTAAGTGACTTTAACTCTGTCTTTGAAAACTTTTCTGGGAGCTATGAGAAAGTTTTAAGAAACTATTTGCACATTTTAACAGTTCTTTTATTTTTTGGTCTGTTTGCTTTAAATTAGTCGTGAAAGTAAACTATTGTTCGGTTGCCCATAAACCCTTAAACTCTAGTACCCTTTAGTTATGAGAACGGTGGCATTTGCTGTTACTTCATGGTAATCGTTTTACTTAATCATAATAATTTAGAAGCCTCTTTTTCCATTTGAATGCTTTCTTGCTATTGTTGAGTACCACTACCAGAAATATTATAGAAGGTGATTCTGTTTGTTTCCTGTTTATGCAGAGCTCCTAGACTTTGTACATTCAAATGGGAGTGACGTTGGGGTAATAATGGAAGTCACATTAGCTTTGTGTGTCTTATTGCTACAATAGTTCAGCTAACTTCTCACCTCCAAATGCCAGGCTTTGAAAACATCGTCATTCCTATTTCCCAGGAGAAAAGGAGAAGAATCTGGTAATCAAAGAAAAAGTAAAAGAGGCAGGAGAATGGATGAAAATTTCATGGTGTCACTCCAAATTAAAAATAAGCACAATAATATCTGATTAATTAGAAGGCCAGTCTATCTAAATTTTAGAATATTTTAAAATAAAGTATTACTTCAAGTATACTTCCCCTTCACCAACAAGGTATTGCCCAATAGAGATGAATTATTTATGGCCTCTTCCTTTAAAAAGACCAACTTCTACTTTCTCTCTACTGTGTTCCCATTACTACTTTCTATGTACTTTATTAGAGCATTTATCACTTTCTACCTTATCATAAATTCATTTGTGTACATTTTTATTCTTCCCACTTCAGCATTAAGTGTCATATCCATTTTTGCATTTCCTATCGTATCTAGCATAATGAATACTGATTTGAATACTTTTTCATAAATTAATCTTTTCTTCAGGTATATACCTTGCACTGTTAATTTACACAGTAAACCTTTCTCATACATAATAAAAGATATTGTCCTATTGTAAACGACTATAAATTTGAAATACGGTGAGATTTTACATAAATATTTCTTTTTTGTTTTGGCTTGAAGTTGCTTTTAGAAGAAGATGATTGTGTTCATGTATTTACAAGTCATATATTTCTAGAGTTGGAAGGGAGGTAGTCAATTAACCCCTCATTTTGCAGAGAGATAAGCCAAGGCATATAGAATTTACCTTGTCCATGGTTGCACATTAATGAATGGCAGAGCTGGAACTGATTTTCAGTTCAGTACTCTTTTCAGTCCACCACATGTTAGGGAAAACTTTCCAGAGGAAGAAAGGTTTCTTAGCTTGTTTTTTGTGGATCGAATGGGGGAAAATGAGGTCTATAACCCTTTAATAATCGATGGCTCAGAGGAAAGGTGTTATTGTTGACCCACTTTGTTTCAATAGTAATGGAAATTAAGTATACAGGACCTGATTACCCTTTACATGATTTATACTGGAGAGCAATTTTACAGTTAAAACATCATAACGAAGTCCATCTAGAACTTACTGTATCATAGCTTTCAAATGCCTTGAGACAAATTATACTAGGGAAAGACTATAATACCTAAACAAAGCTAAGAAGATACATTAGAAAATTCAGGAATTAGAAATCTACTCTTGGTTTTATCGTGAGGGATAATTATTGGCAGAAGGTGTTGTTTAAGAATGTTTGGAACTTAGTGTTTTATAGTTTTATATATGAATAATAATACATTTGACTAAATTAACATTCCTACAGTATAATGAATAATGGAACAACAAAAATGTTTTATTTCAGTCACATGATTAAAATTGAAACTAGAAGTAATAAATTATTAATCAGTAATTTCCAAATTTTAATGAATTTGCCCTTTGAGTACTATGAGAAGAATAGGTAAATTTCTATGTTCTTGTATTCATTTATATTCAGAGTATTTGGAGTTTTGGTGCCTTTTACCTAAAATGGATATAAAAATAAGAAATCTTTGAGGTCCAAGTTAGACTAAGTTGATCATTTATGTTAGTAATGGTTTTTTTCTAATTAGGTTATGTAACTAAATACCCAACTGATTACACATAAGTGATGATTCTTGTCATAACTCAGTATCTTTTTTATTTAAACTGGTTAGCACTACCATATCCACTTAGAAAAAAA